CGGGCGCTTCGTGTTCTTGAGCTTGTTATTGTTTCGTGTTTTGAACCTCTGGGATCCAAAGACAACAATAACCCTAGAATTCCCCCCAATATTGCACTTAGTATTTTTTTTCAATTCCCTCAAAATCGGCCATCTTAAAAGTTATAAATTGCTAAAATCCAAGAACTTCGGGGGCTCCGCCCCTGGAGCGCGGCAGCGAGTTTTTAACGAGCATGGCGCGCCAGATTGATGAATTCACCGCGTCCTCTGATTGGTGCGTTGGTTAGGTTAGGGTTAGTAGTGGGTTAGGGTTGGATTAGGTTAGGGTATGGGTTAGGGTGGTAGTAGGTTAGGGTTAAGGGTTGGTTTGCATCATAATATCTGTCCCCGACACCATAGATAAGTTTTTGTGATGACACTGTCCCTATATATAGATATCCGATACATAGATATTTAGTGTTAGGGTTAGGGTTGAGTTAGGGTTATGGTTATCGTTAAGTGTTTTGATGTTGGATATTACCTTAGACGCCGCTGAACCGCGTTTCTAACGCTGACGTGGTGACAGGCACTTCTTACTTCGCAGCGTACGCACAAAGACGCGTGCTTCATTCAATCCTGACGTCGCGATCCTTCGGTTTAAAAACCTCCGGCCGCCGGAATGGCTCTCGCTCGCCTGCACCCGCCAGGGGCCACTAGGTCAGGCCCTCTGGCCACGATCCGTTCAGAGGGCTTTGGGCCAGAGGTGCTCGGTGTGGCGCTAGCGGCATACACTCCTCGTATACTTTGCGATGGAAGTAAGCAGCGAATCATCCCCCGCCCCCCCGCACAGACTGAGAACCTGTCTACGCGCACTGCTCAATGGGCTCAGGGTCGTTGTCGTAACAGGTACTTACAGATACTGTAACCCGAGGTACTATATGTATACACAAAGTGTGCATAGTTCTTAAGCGTATTATAGGAAAATCAGCCTTTCAAAGCATATCCTAATATGGGGAGAACTATAGCTTTAAAAGCCAGGGACGGAGTTTTAGAATCGGCAAAGCTAAAGTTGCGGCGTAAAAACCAAAACAAACATACCAAAAGAACGCGACGCCTTTTTTATACATATAATCACTGCGTACATTCCAGCGAAGATCGATAATGACACCTGTATTTGAGTAGAGGTAAGAAATAGATATGTATGGTACAGCGAGTAAATAAACGTCAACGGGGATTTAGACCGGGGAATGCGAAGAATTCTTTTTAGTATTTTTATTTTAGTATTAAGAGACATACCCCAAGGTGCTTCCGACTTCTCAACACGAATCATGGACGGCTAACTGATCATGCATGGGCATGGTGCGGTAGAGAAATGCGTCGTTAACGACCCGAATAGAAGTAGAATACGTTCCGCTTCGCGCCAAGCGATATCCTTGTGGTTATAATTTCTATATCCTTCCGCGCCTATGTGGCACATAGGGCGGTGCTATCTCCGCTTCCTTAACCGAGCAAACGCAGCTGCTTTCAGCAGTAGGCGCTAAATACACAGCGGGGGTGGAGTTAGTACCTGGTAAGCACTGGGCGAGTTAACTTTAAACTTCCACGCTCTATCACAATTTGCTGAATGCTAACCAAAGAACGCAGTGTAACGTGTTACCATTTTAAGTCTTTGAGTATGACCCGGCCGGGAGTTAAAATTTATATATACACATTAGGCGCGTTCACACTCGGCGCGAATAAGCGGGATGCAATCCGGTTTTTGATCGGCGATCGAACTACCGAGATTATTACAAGTGTGAACGAATAATACTCACATAATACTCCGCGATTCAGCAATCGGCCGCTCCAAATCGCACTTTGACTGGCGATTATTTGGAATTAGCGGCGATTAATTTGCGTGTGATGAACCTCGCTTTGGAATTAGTCGCGATTAACTTTGCGTGTGTGAACGCTCCGCTTTGGAATAGCGCGATTATTTGGCGTGTGTGGAACGCTCGCGCAAATAATCCCGGTATTTTCTATTCCCATCATTCAAGCGAGTGAGAGGTGAGGCTGCGCAGATGAGCATCATTCCGGCAGTGAGCATCGCGCAGTTTAATCTATTAATAGAATTATCCGCGTTCGGCGATTGGCGATTATTTCGCCTGTGTAACAACCGACAACATTATCTCGGTATTTTCATCGGGCGATAGCAATCGGGTTTTTCTTGTGTGTGAACGCGCCTATTATTATTATGCATTGTATTGTGTATTGTGATTTAACCGGCCGTGGCCCGGGCCTGGCCTAGACTTGTTTGAAGTGGGATGAAATTTAGCAGCCTGTACGGCGAGTCACGGAGAGCTGGAGCTAGGGCAGCGAAACGTATCGTACGTCCTCGCCAACATATAGAACAGGTTTTGCGCAAGCGTGTGTACAATGTCACTCAAGAACATGGTCATGCAGAATTTCATATTCCAGCTGCCCGTTTCATCAATATACAGCAATGAACGTACGGAAATGGCTTTGATGTAGTACGTATAACGCGCAGATGCTATGCTCGTAAGAATTAACTTTTGATAGTTGTGATGGAAATCAATGTTATCTCGTAAATTGGTTAATATAGTGTTCTGTGCATGGTAAGGTCGCTTTTAACGGCTATAGCCTATCTCACATAGATGGGCTTTATATTTGCATATCGGTGCACATTCGTGATATCTGAAAGCTCTATCACATCAACCCAATTGCTGCGAACTAAGTGCTGGTGCCACGTCCTAATGCTATCACTATCAAAGATCGTATAGCGCCGTAGGCCTACGGCGCTATATGATCTTTGATTACTACTACGACGCGCTCGCATGACTTTTTGGTAGTCTGTGACGTAGTTGCCGTCACGCGTCATCAATCATATATAGATATGTCAAACGCGCGGATGCCTATATGCCTATATACATAGTAATTGGGAGTGAGGGAGAGCGAGAGAGAGACACTCTCACGAAACTAGGCGAGCATGATGATAGGTGTGGTCGCTGCCGTGATCACGCTGTGGGTGTTGTACAAGTTAACGTGTTGCGTGGAGTTCGAACCTCTGCTTGGTCGATACAGCTTCCCGGGTGAGTTTTTCTGACGCAAAATTGATGCATATCGGTTGGTCTTATATGACAAACGGAAACGTTAGTTGCCTGCCCCATGGTGACTGTGGTTATTTACCAGATAGTCGGAGGTAAGGAGTTAAATATGCTAGATATATGTATATCAAGAGTCCATAATATAATCTATTATCTTCTCTTATGGACTCTTGATGTATATCTATCTCCTTGGTCGATAGACCCTATGATTTGGAGGGGCAGCTATTTCTCTCTGGCCGCTATAGAGGTCGACAACGCGTGCGACACACACACACACACACACACACACACACACACACACACACACACACACACACACACACACACACACACACACACACACATACACGCGCGCGCACGCACACACACATGTCCGCACTGCGATTGGTTCAGAGCATCTCTCGTACACTATATATCTATTGGGTGCGAACTGAGCCGGTATACGCTGACTGCACTGCCGCAGTGAAATGTTTTATGGCTTTGGAGCATTTCCTTTAGACTGACTATCGCGTTGTCGTGAGCAAAATGGCTGTGTTCATCACTGATATCATTGATCATGATATCAATATTCATTCTCGAAGGAAACCTTACTGTAGATTAATTTACAAAAATACTTTTTATGCCAAAATAAATGGACTATTTATTGATGATGATTGATGATTTATCGATTTAAAAGATCCATTGTTACTATATTACCACAATTAAAGTACTATAGAAATAGGTCTATAGATTCATTATATGAGTCAATTACTGTGCTCTCGGAGACGACGGGTAAATGAAAACGAAATGGGTAGAGAGAAGTAAAAAGTGTCGAACGAGAGGAGAGAAGAGAGAAAGGGAAGAGCACATGAAGCACGCTGATTAGAAGAATGCAGGAGAGAAATCTGGAGAAAACAAGGCAGTAGGATGAGGAAAATGGGATGGCGGAGTTAGAATGCGGGAGAAGGCAAGAGAAACGAAGATAAGAAAGGGTAAAGAGAAAAACGATAGAAATAACGAGAAAAAAATCAGGAGGAGCAGGAGGAGGTACAACCGGGCCGCAAATTCTACAGACGACAATTTAATGAGCACGCGTCCGGAGCGCGAAATTTTTTTTCCCACGAGAGCTCCGGACCCACGATAAATAGTGTTTTCTAATATATGGTGCGTATATATATGGTTGGATTATGGTTAGGGTTAGGGATAGGGTTAGGGTTAGGGATAGGGATAGGGGGTATTCATTTTACATTGTTGCTTCGAGGAAGTCGAGTGAATGGAGTGCGCTGATTGGCTGTGGTCCGGAACTCTCGTGGGAAAAATAATTTCGCGTCCGGGCCGCAGCGTTGCCCGGCGGGATTTTACGACATATCCAATGAAGAAGTCGACTGTTAGAGGTTCTTCTTCATTACCATTCCACACATAAATCCTAATCTTGATCCAGCCGAGAGAGAAATATATATATATATAGAGAGAGAGAAAGAGAGAGAAAGAGAAAAAGAGAGAGAGAGAGAGAGTGAGAGAGAGAGAGCAATAGATGCGACTGCCGTGCTGTGATATGTTGTCGTAGGTAAATGGTTTGCTATCAAGAACGCACTCGTGCTTGCCGTGCTGCACTGGAGGCGATGGCGACAACAGAGAAGGCAACCGAACGTGAGCCACGTTGTCTCCTCACCCTGCTGCCTGTTGGAACGACCACAGTCGCTGGGCTGTGTCGAGCACGTAAGTCAAACACCTTATTCTAAATGCACGTACGTAGGATGCGACTCAGTCACCTCCTTCTGCGCAACACAAGCAACATGTTTGCGGCGTATGTTTACGCTATCGACCTTTAGTCAAAAGCTTACTACGAATTGATCAAGTTGACCGATTAGTGATAAGTCATCAGGTTAATGCCATGCAGGTTAAGCGTGGGTATATAGCTACTCTGAGACGTCTTATGACGGTACGCGGCGCTATAGCTAATGTTACAATTTAGTACCTGCACAAACGGTAACACAATGACGCATTGTAGCGTGCCGTGACAGTACATTTACAATAACATGAAGACGCTGCCCACGACGTGCCCCACTAATTAAACCCGGTCCAGGGCACGCCGTTCTTATTAGGTTAATTATATCGACGCTAAAAAATTTGAACTCATTTGGCACATGCAGCGCCTCGCAGCCATGTTGTTTCAAGCAAACGATGCAGACTGCGATAGCTTCTATTCTAGTTATATTTTGATTAGTTTTTTATTTCTCGCTTTAATTAGTACATACCGCTCAGATTTATCATCCTGATTTAATATTTAGTTGCCTAAGATCTGGCAGTGATATTCATATAACCGAATTCAATGCGAAGAATGTTAACACGTCAAACACGACGTTGTCTAATCGGTAAATATATACGGACAACATTGGCTCTGTAATAAACTCTGTTATTAACTCACCAGCCCCGCCGGCTATAATAAGAGTGAAAGTATATAGCAAGTGTAGGTACATGCAGTGCTTACATTTTATTTATGATAGCGTGTGATACGCGCAGCCAATTGCCGCGTTGACGCCTTACCGCTACGGCTACTGCTACCGCTACTGCTGCCGCCTATTGCTACCGCTACTACTACCGCCTACTGCTTACCGCTACTGCTTACTGCTACTTTGCTATTGCTACTGCTACTGCTACTGTACTGCCTACTGCTCTGCTACTGCTATGCTACCTCTACTCTACCGCCACTGCTACTGCTATGCTACTCTTACTGCTACTGCTACTGCTTACTGCTTACTGACTACTGCTACTCGCTACTGCTACTGTTACTTGCCGACTGCAACTGGCGACTGCAACTGCTACTTGCCTACTGCTGCCTGCTACTGCTTACGGCTACCCTATTGCTACCTACTTACTACTACCGCTATGTTACCGTACTGCTACGCTTACTCTACCGCTACTGCTACTGCCTACTGCTAACTGCTACTGCTACTGCTCTGCTACTGCGCTACTGTGCTCGTCCGATCTCTGTGCTACGACTAATAATGTCTACGCTATGATGCTCCACCGGATATAACCAGCACCCAAGCTACAGTTGCTACTCCCACTACTGCAAATACCTCCGGCGTCCTCCGCCAATAGTTTTTATCATATTTTTCCGTTTTTTTGAAATTAATTATCATACGTAGTTTCTCATAATCGCGTGACGACAAATTATATAATTTTTTAAATAAAACTAGGATGACGACTATAATGACTTACCAGCTAAATTTTCCAACGAATCATTATGCTTTTTGAGTTCCCTATAAGTTTCGCTTAAATGTGAAAAAAATGTGTTTTGGCCTGGCTACAGAGTTTTGAAGTGCCTGATGCCATCTGCGTGACGGTAAATGCTTATCGACGTCTGCTGACGGCCAATAAGGACATCGTCAAGGACATTCAGTCGTTGCGGGAGGAACTTTGGTACGTAGCTTTTTGATAACTATTACGCAGTTTTCACTATCGTAGTTCATTCAAGGAAAGACTGGATTGTGTAATATACTATAAC